AATCTCCTTGGACGAAATTGGATTAAATGTGTGCCTTCTGTGCTATCCTATGTACATCGGATTGGTGTAAATCCGGCTTTAGATTCAATTTTCGTAAATCATAAGGATCTATTTCGTGACGATTCTACTACCCACTACCGCGGTCCACCTGTTAAGTTTCAGTTTCAGTCAGATTTCCGGCCCCGGTTCTTCAAAGCTCGTACAGTCCCCTATGCACTCGCACCGAAGGTCGAAGAAGAGCTGAATCGCCTACAGAGAGCGGATATTATTGAGCCCGTGCAATATTCGGAATGGGCAGCCCCAATAGTTCCTGTCCTTAAAACCGATGGTTCTGTGCGTATCTGTGGCGACTGCAAGCTGACAATCAACTCAGCAACTAAACTGAACCCTTATCCTCTCCCGCGCATCGAGGATCTGTACGCATCTCTCTCGGGTGGTCATCAATTTACAACTTTGGACCTAAAGCACGCCCACAACCAAGTCGTCCTAGATACTGAATCCCGAGACGCCACCACCATCAATACGCATCGGGGTTTATTTCGATATAAGAGACTACCATTTGGAGTAAGTTCGGCTCCCGGTTTATTTCAATGCTTGATTGATAATCTCGTGAAGGATATACCTCACGTTTGCGCATATCTTGACGATATATTAGTTACCGGCCCATCTGAACATAGTCATCTAGAGACTCTAAACATCGTGTTAGGACGTTTAGAGGACGCTGGTTTTAAACTCAGGAAAGATAAGTGCACTTTCCTTGCCGACTCGGTAGAATACCTGGGCTTCAGGGTGGATAAAACTGGCCTCCATCCACTCGAACAGAAGCTCAAAGCCTTGAAGACGGCGCCGCGCCCAAACAATACTAGTCAATTGCGTTCATTCCTGGGGTTGGTCACCCACTTTAGTCGCTTTATGAATCAATCGGCTACAATTCTCAAGCCTCTTTATCGACTACTTGAAAAGTATTGTGGCTGGCACTGGTCGGAGGTTGAACAAAGTGCTTTCGAACAGGCAAAGGCGGCTCTTACCTCCTCATCTGTCCTAGTTCACTATGACCCCGAAAAGCCTATCATACTGAAATGTGCTGCGTCTCCGTACGGCGTAGGTGCGGTTCTCATGCATCGAATGCCTTCGGGTTCGGATATGCCGATTGCTTTTGCATCAAGAACCATGTCACAGGCGGAAACCAACTATTCGCAACTAGACAAAGAGGCCTTAGCAATAATGTTTGGCCTACATCGGTTCCACCTGTATCTTTTTGGCCGACACTTTGAAATTCACACTGATCACAAACCCCTCTTAGGTTTGCTGGGGGAAAAACGAGGGATACATCAGATGTCCTCGCCAAGAATGCAACGATGGGCACTCACTTTATCTGCTTACACGTATGCAATGAAATACGTTACAGGTAGTGCAAACGTAGTGGCTGACGCCTTGAGTAGGCTTCCTATCGTGGACGATGGCATTAACGGGGCACCTGTTTTTGAGACCGTGAATCTTTTGCAGAATCTAGTCAACGCGCCTGTAACCTGTCAACAAATTCGACAGTGGACATCGAGAGACCCTCTCCTAAGTCGGGTAAAAAGAGCCTTACAATCTGGCTGGCCGTCCTCTACCTCCTCTGATTTTCAACCATTCTTCAGCCGTCAGAACGAGTTAAGTCTACAAGACGGATGCATACTATGGGGCAATCGTGTAGTTGTGCCACCACAAGGCCGACGGGCTATCCTCAGAGACCTGCATAATGCTCATCCTGGTACAGTTAGAATGAAAGCTCTCGCCCGCAGCTATGTTTGGTGGCCCAAAATTGACGCAGATATAGAAAACGTGGTGAAAGCATGTCACGTGTGCCAAATAACACAGAAGACCTTACCGAAGGTTCCTCTGAAGCCTTGGGCCTGGCCCGACTCGCCGTGGAAGAGGGTACACGTCGATTATTTTGGGCCATTCCAAGGCCATATGGTTTTGGTGGTAGTTGACGCCCACACTAAATGGATTGATGCGATTCCGACAGGAAATTCTTGTTCCTCACTGACTACAATCAACAAGTTGCGAACCGTCTTTTCTACTTTTGGGATACCTGAAATGGTCGTTTCAGACAATGGCCCGGCATTTACTAGTGCAGAATTTAAAGATTTCATGGATAAAAATGGAATTAGACATTTAACTACTGCCCCGTACCACGCTGCTTCAAATGGCCTGGCAGAGCGTGCAGTCCAGACAATAAAGCACGGACTAGCCAGACAGACAGAAGCGGACTTGGCCACCAAGTTGTCACGCTTTCTGTTCAGCTATCGCATAACACCAAACGACTTAACGGGTGCTTCGCCTGCAGAATTGATGTTCAAGCGGCAGTTGCGCACACGACTCGACCTGCTTAATCCATCAACGCAGGATAGGGTCATTGCAAAACAGACGAAGATGAAGGAGCGATATGATGTGAGCACCCGACCACGAGTCGTCGCGCCCAACGAAAGTGTCTACACGCGACTGGAACACGAAACGAACTGGTGTCCAGCGGTAGTTCGAAAAAGCGAGGGTCAAATAGTGGAATTAGAGTTAGAAGGTGGGAGAATTATGCGTCGACATCTGGACCAAGTTCGCAGCCGAACGGACACAGTAAGTGGAGAATTCGGAGAGTTAGAACTGCCAGCAACCCTTGATAGGGATCCTGACATCCCGAGGACTGAGCCCCTTCTTCCTGCACAGGTCACTACGCCATCCACCGAGGCTTATGTTCCACCTCCTTCTACCCCGGCGAGCACTAACTTAGGGGCAGAGGAGTCAGTGACTGCACAAAGCGGCGCAGAGGTAGAAAATACCGCCCTGAGAAGATCGACCCGAAACCGCAAACCTGTCCAACGCTTTCAGGACGAATCTTATTAGAACATTGTCTGACAATCCACTATTACCTATACTGTTCCCCTCCCCTCCCCCTCATGCTCTCCACTTCAGGGTGGAGGGATGCAGCGTATCCTGCCCGGGCCGTCAGGACATCATGCCACAAACGCGTGACAAGCGAACGATCAAGGTCATGGCCCCCTGTTCACACCGTCTTTATGCTGATTGGCCACCCATCAGCCTATGACAGTCCCCCTTGCCATATACCCGGCCGTTTCTACAAGCCTCCTCACTTGTGCTGTCTATCGTACTCAGTACACGTCCTATTTCCAATTAGCCTTCTGTTTTGCATACATAACATTGGCGACGCAGCCTAACGAACATGTCTTCATTACTGCCTACACCGCTACCTTTTTGGCCAAAGAACACCCCGAAGCCCTCAAATGACTCGTGGTTGCAATGGAGGAAGACATTTGAGGATTATATTGAACTACTCCCGATTTTGTCACCCACGATTGTACTAGACGTCCCATCTAAGTTGAAACTCCTCCGGACGAATCTCGGAGAGTTGGGACAACGATATTTCGATGCCCTCAATCTACAAAAGGCTACAGATCTCCTAACAGCCTTCTCCAAACTCGAGTCAGCGTGGGGTATATACAGTACAGAGGGGACAAGATCATGGCCTTCAGGATCGTCCGAGGGCTAGACTGTGCTCTTCATTTTGACGACTTCTTCGAACTGGCGCGGACGACAAATCTCCTAGGGCACGCATACAAATTGAAGATGAAACATGCCAGACTCGATTTGCGGGCCAAATTCTTCTCTCACCGGCTGGTTGAGGGATGGAGCAAATTGCCGAACTCCCTTGTCTTAGCGGAAGACGTCGAGACCTTCAAAAGAAGACTAGACAAAATTATGCTTGATGGTCAAACATTTACATGATATCAATGACTGGTATAACTGCTATGTAAATATCTGCATGTTTTTTTCATACGTCTATCTGTAAATAGGGTTTTCCAAGGCTCTGCCTCTATCCCTCATATATACTGAATTATACTGAATTATTTCGCCGGCTGATGGCCTGCTACGACTAGCAGAGGCGTATTTTTGGACGACCGAAGGGTCATGAGGTTCTACATGTCCTAAAGCGATTTATGAGTTAATCAAATCTGCAGACGGCGAAGAACATACGCTGGCACCTGCTATGTCTTCAGTCACGATTATAGCACCCAGAGACGGTGGGAGGCCGCAAGCTTTCGCCTTTTAGCACGTGCTCTGCGGGGCATTACAGACAAGAAAAGTTTTTCGTTACAGAAGAAGGATCAAAACGTTGCCAACGTGCGGAAATACGCACTGAATAGCAAGTAATATTGTCATTTACCTACGAAAACTAGTAAGCGATAGTAGGGAAATCAGTCACTACAAAGGTTTTTTTTACCAAATACGACTATTTTGCCAGACTGTCAAACAAAACTGGGAAAAATTTTACCTTATATTGAAAGGCGACTTTTAAAAGGGACTCAAGTAAAAAACAGGCATTAATTGCTTAAGAATATCCAGATGAATGCAAAGCTGCACTTATCTTTAAAATTGAGCTACGCGCCTTGACCTTGACCTTGACTTTATTTCACTGAGAATGCGTCTTACATCTTCGATGGAAAAGGCAACGCTTTCAATTACGGCAGTGTCTTGGCGCATTTGAAGCTCCCGGCTGTCTCGGTCCATTTCAAACTGCTAATTGTATTCTGAGGACTCCTCCGTAACAACTGAATGAAAAAAACAGAGACAGTAATTGCACTTTCTGTGACACTTCAACTAATAAGTATCCGAGGCTATCCTATAGACATGCAACTTAACGTACTATTTATATTTCCTCGCCTACATGACACACTTTGCACTCATAGTTTTGCGGACTTCGACTGGCGAGTCTCCTCCTATGTAGTGGATGGCTGCTACTCAGCTGCCGCAAATATTTCGTGCGGAAATGTTTATACTGCAAAGCGCTGTGGTGTTTGATATATGGCCTCCATAACTGACAGCCGGCTATATGTGCCGGACCAATTCGTAGGCGGGCGTACGCCGCGGTAATTAGCCACCATGTCGACTCGCTTTTTTGGACTGTTCTAGAGAATTCCGATCATTGTACTTTGTGAACCATAGGGCGTGGTGTCACACCGACGTGCAATTTTCGCCATGCCAGCAACTTGCACCGCCCCCCCCCCTTACGGTTCCAGTCTTCTTGGCTCTCTCTTGACATCATATCTAAGCTGACGGAGGATCGCATAATGTGGTATATACAGCGCAAGTGTGCTACCATTCTGAACTAGCTCACGCGCAAGTCACCGACACTGCACTACATCTGCCGTAGGGCAGGGCATCGTGGGACACGGCGGGAGAACGTTTGTCTGATATGGCACTAATAAAGCGAAATAATCCCATTATCCCAGAACAAGGCAGCACATACTCTTATTTCTATCTTCAATCAGCCCAAGACAGCAAGCATGATGACAATTAGAAATTTGGGATCTGTCAGGCTGTACAAGTTAGGCTATTTACCACCATTGTCCTTTAAAGACGAATCAAAAATAACAGACCGAAATGCATACACAATTAAAATTCATTTTGACGTACGCCTTTGTCATTTCTTAATTTTCTTTAGGTTTTTCGTGAAGCCTCATTACATACAGTTTGTTTAACATGGCTAACGCAACCTTGAGCCCGTTTTAACCTATAAAGGTACCAGGTCCGAAAACGGAATTCCACCTTACCACAATGATTTCACAGCGTGTCTCGAGTGAGTTTCGAAAATGCTTTTGGCAATTTTTACTTTCACTCGCATGCAGACTGCTCTATGAACTTCGTTCATGTCAAAAAAACAGTCAATATATTTTCCTTCGTTTAATTTATTACCAAGAAATTTGAGTAAAAACAACATTCTGCATAATTTAATTTTAACTGTTTGCTTTTGAAATTAATTTTGTTTTTAATCTTACTATGTAATTTGCATTTGTTTGGAGCTCTATTTATAAGACAAGTTTTATCCAGTGTGGAGGTGATAGAAAACGTGAATCTTTCCCAGCGCATCATAATATCAATCGTCACACCTAAATAATATTCCTCAAAATATCAACTCCTTGTTTGCTAAAAGTATAAAGGCAAAGTTAGAAATGTTGCGCTCTCAAACTAACTCTGTATTATTGCATTTTAATTTTTTATGGATATAAGTGCATTATTTAAGCGATTTTAAAAGTATGTACAAGACAAATGCCAAACGTAGAACTGCAAGTTCATGGTTATCCTTTTTGCATAGTGTCGCTTCTCGAATTTGGTGAGAAATATTTTTGAATTTTTCTTATAGGCGGGGCTAGAATCCTTTCCTCTGTTTTGCCCAGAAGAAATGCTTCGGCACTTGCAAA